AGCCGGTCACGAAACACACTGACATTCTGTTGCTTAAACGAGTCTGGGGGGGGGACAGTTATTGCTGTCCTAATGCTTGTCGACCCTGGAGGTGGTTTGGTAAATCACTCTCTCCTGGTGTTTCTTGTACAGATAAGCAGAGCTGGACAGGAACTCATTTGAGACAATTGGCGCCTGGCTGACCGTGATTCAGCTTTACGGCTCTCAGATGGTTGAGAAGAGATGTTAGTTTCCAGGTGGAATGCGGAGATTCCCTCGTTCATTTGTGTGATGTTCGCAAATGCCTTACACCATTAAATAATATTAACGCATCAGGGTCGGAAATTAACGGGGGCTTGAGGTAATAATGCTCCTTAAATTTAAGGTAAAGGAGCTAAAAATGCCCCAGAACAATTAAACAAAATCTATTACAAAAAAGTGTTGATTGCAGCATTAAATTTAGATCTGCTCAGGTTGCATCAGATTTCTTTTTACTTTTCTTTTTACTTTCATTATAACCGATCACACAGGTTTCTTCAGTGCTCGTCTGCACTGACTGAATTGCAGCTGCACCTTCTAATGAATTTCTGTTTTTTTTTGTTTTTTTTATAATGTACACATTTAGAATTTGTAATAATTTATGTATAGTGTAAACTTTTTACATTATGCAATTGTTGTGTAAGCATGCCCGCTTTGAGCAGCATTAAACTGTATAAACAAACATAAATTCACTAACATTAAATGTTAATTCATGTTTATTTTTAATTAACATCAAATAAACATTAATTAAACTTATTGTGAAGTGTTTCCCCAAAATTTGTCTTTCCCCTTTAATCCAAACAAACTTGATTTGAATTTGAATGTGGAGGAAGAGGAAACTTCATGAAATGTCATGAATTTCCATTGCTAGTGGTGCTATTATTGAAAAAAATTGTTAAAACTTCTCAACAATGTATTTGAATTTACCACTACAACCACAACCTATACTGTATCTACATCAGTAATGCAGTCTATTGTTTTAAATCGGTCAGTTTTGGTTATTTGAACATCAACTCTGGGATTCCCTGAGTTTTTCATGTATTTAACTTGTGGTCTATGTACACAATTAAGGTTTATTGTATAGATTTCCGGGTTGATGAATTTTTATAACATTACTCACATCAAGAGGAAATGAGCTCAGATGTTCCCCATACAGCACATCAACTGTTCAGCCAGCTGTCTTCAGCAGTGTTTGACTCTCAGCCAGATCTGAGAGGGTGAGATGGAAGATAATTATTCACATATGGATGCACATGTATGTTTTCATGGCATCACTTCTTTCATGATATCATCAAATGATTTTTCTAGAGGGGCTCATGCTCATATTCTTTGATATTCGCTGGGTATTTTTTTCTGGGGGTTGATATTGCTTTGTGCATGAGTCATTTCGTCCCAGAGAAAGTGCCTTATGAGCCATATTTGAACTTGGCCTATAGAAGCAGTCAAACCACACACCTTTGCCTATGAGTCAAGAAGAGACAATTTTAATTCTTTTATCATTGTTTGGGATTTATTTGTAATTCAGTCCACTGTGCCACTTTTTGTTTTCATTTGAACTCTTCTGTGTGTTGAGGATGTTGTTGATAAGAATGGCCAAATTATGTTGTGGAAAAGTCCACACATGGTCCGCCCACTTTCCCTGTGAATGCTGGGATTTCCCCCACCAAACTGAGATTAGCATACCTGTGACATTCCTTTGCCATTAATGTCTTCTGGTTTGCCTTTTAGACTTTATGAAAAGTATTTGCAGAACTGCTACGCAAATACTTCACTATAATTTTAGTGTATAGTATGGTATTATTTATTGTTTAATAATGGCAATAATAACAAATTATTATTATTAATATTATGCAACAGCTAATTATATCAATTAATCTATTATTTATCATAAACTAATATTGATGATAATTTTTCACATTGAATAATACAATTTATATTTATACATAATATATATAATATATCAGTAATAATTGTTTATTGATAAATGATGATGATTGATATTATTTCACAATAAATTGTATAAATTCTTAATGATATAATATTTATTGTGAAATAATAATGTCAATCTATCAGTAATAATACTTTTTATTTATCATGATGATGATGATGATTTCACAATACATGATTAAACGTTTTTTTTATGAAATAATACACACACACACACACACACACACACATATATTTAGCAGATGAAAGTCTGATTAAAATTTACCCCCTTTTTTATGTTTTTATTCTGTTTGTTTGTGGGGCAACAGGTCTGTAACTACCAGGGTGCAGCTCGAGTGGTAGTTCAGCTGGTGACCAACACCACAGAGCCCCATCTTCATGCTCACAGCTTGGTGGGCAAACAGTGTGATAAAGGAATCTGCATTGTCGAATTGCTGCCCAAAGATTCAAGCATCAGGTCTGAATTTGTCATTCAACATCCAATTATTCAGAATGCCTTTTTCTGAGCAACAGCATGCATGCAATGATAATAGTGAGGGCCCTTATTAATGTTCACTTGCGAATGTTTCACAGTTTTCCTAACTTGGGCATTTTGCACGTGACAAAGAAGAACGTGAGCAAAGTTTTGGAAGAGAGGATGATCGAGGCCTACAGGATGGGATATAACTACGGCATATTCATCAATCCTGAGATTGATGCCCTACAAGGAGAGGTTCGCGTGCCCAGAGAACTCGCAGGTAGAAGTGTGTTTGTGTATGCCTGAACCCTTCCTGACAGATTATGTCCATATTCAGGATATTCATCCATTTTTCTACTGGCCCAGTCAGGATGGTAGTTAAAATATTTATTTGCCCTGCCATCATTATTTCCTGCTTCACCACAAAGAATTCTAAATACTAAAAATAACATGTATTTGCACTTTTGCATCTACACTACCGTTCAGAGCTTTGAAGTCAGTAAGATTTTTTTTTTTCCTTTTTAAAAGAAATTAATACTTTTTATTAAACAAAACTGCATTAATTTGATCAAAAGTGTCAGTAAACACATTTGTAATAACCTGGACAAAATATTAATATTAAGAATCATGAATAAATGTATCATGGTGTTCACAAAATACTAAGCAGTGCAACTGTTTTCAACATATTAGAGTGATTTCTGAAGCATCATGTGACACTGAAGTGGCCATATAAAAAAATGTACTGTATGTCACTATGGATAAAATTCTCCTGATGATCTAAGAATGCTTTTGTCAACAGAAAGGATTAAGAGATTATTGGGTAACACTTTATTTTAAGGAGTCCTTGTTACACGTTACATGTACTTACTATTATAATAACAATTAATTATGCATAATTACATGCAAGTAACCCTAAGCCAAACCCTAACCATATAGTAAGTACATGTAGTTAATTAATATTACTCAGTACTTATATTTGTAATTACACTGTAACAAGGACACCTTAAAATAAAGTGTAACCGATTATTGATTCTGAGAATGCCTGAGGTGTAAAATAAAAAGAACCTCAGCATATGTGTTCATGTATTTTAGACGCTGAGAGGAACCTGATTAGCAGTGCATCTATTCATCAGTCAAAGGAGATGGATCTGAGCGTGGTACGGCTCATGTTCACAGCCTTCCTGCCCGACAGTGATGGAGGGTTCTCCCGCAGGCTGGAACCAGTCATTTCAGACCCCATCTTTGACAGCAGTGAGTATCATCCTCCTTGATACTGACCATGTCGATCAAAAGCATTCATAGCAGTGTTATTTTAGTATCATTGAGATACTAATATAGTTTTTATCAATATTTATAAAAAAAATGTTTGTTATATATTCCATTTGCATTTTAATTTTAATTGTAATTTTGTCATGTTTTTTGTCATTTAAATAAGTTTTATATATAGTTTATTCATTTTATTTCAGTTATTCTATTACATCAAGTTAAATTGACTGAAAATGGGAAATGTTACATTGGTATCTATCTGAAATAAAATAGATTTGATTTTATTTCAAGAAACGAAATAGGTTTATTTAATGGGTTTAGTTATAGTTAGATAACTCTAATTCATAGTCATTAGAAATGATGGCTTTTAGCATGATTTTGAGTTTTGGGGCTAATTACTGATATATTTTTAAGTCTCACTCTTGATCTCGTTCTTGTTCTCATTTTCCTATTCCGTTTCTCTCACCCGTACTCTCACTCTCTGACAGAACTGTCGGTATTGCTTCCTCTCTGAAACTAGGCCTACACTTTCGATTTCCCCTCCCTTTTCTAATAATCTGTCTCCATTTCTGCCTCTCTTCTCAGCACTGTCAGACTTCATATTTGTAAAACGAGACTGCTAGAGAACAGAAAGGGAAAATGAACACCACAAAAATGAAAAACAGAAAGACATGTTTCAACACCTTTGTCTCTCTTGTGGCATTTCAGAGGCCCCAAATGCCTCCAATCTGAAGATAGTGCGGATGGATCGGACTGCTGGCTGTGTTTTTAGATAGGATGTCAACAACCGCTTAAAAATAACTGCATTTACTATGTACAGATAAGTGCATATGTATTATTTTTATTGTTATTTAATTCTAACATTATAACATGATTTGCAGTGAAACTGTTATACAGTTGAATTTATTTATACCATAGTCCAGTGTTTCCCAGGCGGCTTATATATGCAAACTCATTCTCTGCCAGCAGGAGGCGCTGTGGGGGTGGTAGAGATCAAGGTTCCCCGGTAACGGCTGTACACAAAGCAGCGCTCCGCTCAAAAAAAACACTGCTTTATCAGACATTACATGCAAGATTAAATGAAAATAACATCCAATTTTCTGAAGACAGTCGGTTTCCTTCAGAAATACAGTGATATAAAAACACCCGCACTCAATGTATGGGAAACACTGTAGTCTCATAATTGTAGTGTAAATTCTGCAGATTACATCATTGTCCAGTATTGTACTGTCAGCAATTTATTATAAAAACGTTTTCATAATTGTAACATACATATTTACATACATAATTATTCAGGTGCATGTGTAATAACTTACGAAAACTTGAGGCTACAGCAACACTTCTTCTTCGTCGTCTTGTCTGATGCACTCAACCAAGCGTTAACCACGACCTCGCCCCTCCCCACCCCCCAACCATGAGCCGCTTTGTGACATCACAAAACCCGGAAAACAAACGCTGTAGTCCAAACGAGCCGTTCGTTGTAGTTCTTGAAAAGGGATTTTTTAAAAACGAAATATCTCCCTTTGGAGTGGACTTTGAGATTTGTAAGTTTGAAGATCTTTTTTATGCCCAAACATACACACTACACACTGACTAAAATTCAAAAAGTGAAAAAGCATAATAGGACCCCTTTAAGAGTAGGAAATAAAACGAATGGTATAAATCGTAATGCTCAATTTTACAGAGCCAATCACCTTTTTGTTAAAGGACAGGAAGTCAGAACTGTCACCTGTTTGATTTATTCTTGAAATTAGCTGGACCAGCTTGAAAAATGCTATTAATTTGCATGATTTCAGCTAGTGAGGTTATGACCCTGTTATTGTCCAATTGTATTTCTGATTTGAAATATGTTATTTAAACGTAATATTGACAGATACGGTTTCAGAGATTTCAGTCTCTTAGCTTTCGAGCAGACAAGAGCGGTACCTGCATGACTGGACAAAGCTGCCTGGAGGCATTACCAAGATGGTCGCCAAAGGGAACTGAATTTTTCAAAGAGGACTTTGCTAAGGGTCAGAAAGAGATTGTGGAGAATGGTCTTTTGAAACTAATTAGTGACTGTTTTTGGTACAGGAATTTTTTACTTGAGGAGAAAAAGGTATAATGGTGTAGATGTGGATGATTAAGGGATCAGGAAAATTTAAACAAGCCGTCCAATTTTTCTGAATGAAGCCACCTTCAAACAGTTTAGCTTTTAACCTACAGGTGATAACGCCACCTTGTTCTTTTGAGATAGACGCTGGACACGCATTGCCACTCTTGAAGGAAGTTTTCACTGCAGAGTTCCATCTGTAGGGAATTCCCCTTTTCATATGCAAATTACAGGGCAGAAGAAAGTTCACTATACATCAGTTTTTCAACATCTTGCTCGCCATTTCTCTTCTCTCGTATTGTTTTCTCCTCCCCTTGCTCATGATGAAAACCGGATCTTCATGGACAAGTCATGTAGGATAAATAGATGATCCTGAAATACAAAATGATCAGCCTTCACCATTACTACGCACTAAATCCTCTGAAACATTTACAACAAGCTCTTGAGTGTTTTAAAATGAGGAATAAACAATTGTGATCCAGCTATGGCATTGTGATAAATTGTGACATATTATTTGACAAGTTTTGCTGTGTGAATCATATTGCGGCCAAGCACTAATAATATGTAAATACAATGTTACCTGATTATTGAATCGTTTTGTATCATGGTATATATGAAAATACCATGGTATTTCTATCTGATACCTAGATTGGATATGTTTTTAGATCATGTGTCCATAATGTGCATATCAGTTGCGCCATTAAATGAAGTTTGAACTGTGGTAAATCATGGCTTTGCGGAAGTAACGACGTGCTGCATGCTGACGACAGATATTCAGATTGTACTCTGTGTGTGGCGACAATCATTTCCTCTTTCTTTCCCCACTGGTTCACAGTAATTTCATTTTCTTATTTTCCTCATACTGTATGTGATGTCATTGTTTGTTTTTGTTGTTGTGACAGATGATATCCAGGTGCGGTTTTATGAAGATGATGAGTCAGGTCTAACCTGGGAGGCCTACGGGGATTTCTCCCCCACCGATGTCCACAGACAGGTCAGCACAGGAACTTGTCTGCCGCCACATATGGCTGCACTGTACTTCTGCAGCCACAGTTTGGCCCTGCTGGTCAAACCTGATCCTTTATGTTCAGTGCTTTACTTGCTTTCTGGTTTAATGATGCCTTTGGTCTGTTTACTTACGGATAAATCCTAACTTGTCTGGGTAAATAGTTGGTAAAGCACAGCTCCTGGGGATTTATTAAGTCAACATGGAATCAAAACGGACCTTTTTTACTTTCTTCATACACTGCCTTTCAAAAGTTTACCAAGGCTGCATTTATTTGATTAAAATATAGTACAAACAGTAATACTGTGAAATATTATTCAAATTTTAAATAAGTGATTTCTATTTGAATCTATTTTGAAATGTAGTTTATTCCTGTGATGCCAAAGCTACAGTCTATAGTGTCACATGAACCTTCAGAAATAATTCTAATATGCTGATTTACTGTTCAGAAAATATTTCTTATCATTAACAATGTTGAAAATGGTTGTGCTGCTTAATACTTTTTGTGCAAACTATAATACTTTTTTGCTCAGAATTTTTAAATGAATAGAATGTTCAAAAGAACACCATTTATTTGAAATAGAAATCTTTTGTAACATTATAAATGTCTTTACTTTTGATCAATTTAATGCATCCTTGGTGAATAAAAATCACTGTTACATCTTGACTTTAGATGACTGGGATTTTATGGTGTTATTGTTATTATTAAAATAAATGTTCTGGTGGAATGAATAATCCACCCTACAATTCCATCCTTTAGTTTGCCATTGTCTTCAAGACGCCTAAATATCGGGACCAGAACCTCCAGAAGCCCATCTCTGTGTTTGTGCAGCTAAAAAGAAAGTCAGACAATGAAACGAGTGAACCCAAGCCTTTCACCTACCATCCACAGATTATAGGTAAAGTCTTTAACCTACTCCCTAAAGGTTTGATTGTGACTATGCAACATAAACTCTCTTTTTTAGGATTTTCTTTTTTTATTTTATTTTGCAAGCTAAGACAAAAATGCAAAAGTCTGAGATCACTAATGACAGTTTCTGTTTTGCATGTTTAAATATATATATGTATATATATATAATTTTTATTTATTTTTTAATACAATTGAGTGAAGGTTACAATATCTGTCCATATACCGTATGCAGGGGCGCGCCGCTAAGGGGGGGAAAGTTAGGACGATTCTAAGGGCCCACGCACTTTTGGGGCCCCCAGAGATCTGTTTTATTAGTAGTAACAGTAGTAGTAGTAGTGTAATAGAAATTATAAATGTATCTACCAAAGAGTTAAATAAAACAAAATTACGGCTTATTTCTGCTTTTCCAGCAAAATTATCTTCCCCCCCCCCGTTCACTGCATGGTTTCGTCCCGTCCTACGTAGCCTAGAGTCACTGAGTGAGATCAGATGGTAAACTGTCAAATTAGAGATGCCTTCGAGTTTTAATAATATTGACCTATTACTTTTGACCATTATGTTACTGATACCTAATGGTCAAAAGTAATAGGTCAATATTATTAAATTGCAGACAAAGATTTTGAATAGCTAGACTGGCTTGTACACAAAACGTATTGGGACACCCCCTTCTAATGAACAGGTTTGACTACTTAAGTAATTTCTACTTTTTTTTTTACACCCCCTTCTTTAGAACAGAAAAAGGCACTTCCAAAATTCTGGCATCAAAGATGGAAACATAATTAATGTATTTAAAAATTGTATTTCAATCTTTGTTGCCACAGTTTTGGAAGTGTCTAACATGATTGTACGCGTATGTACAAGTCATTAGTGTTTGGCGATGAGTTTTTTTGAGTATTATTGAGTTTTCCCAATACTTTGGGCAACATAGTGTATGTTTGGTGCGGTAGGGGGCCCAACCTCATATTCTTTCATAGGGCCCAAAATTGCTAGCGGCGCCCCTGACCGTTTGTTTACTTTGCCATTGATATACTGTTTCTAAACTGTTTTAAGACAAAGAAGAAGTCCAAAGAAAGAGACAGAAGACACTGCCAAACTTCCAGGACTACAGTGGAGCAGGAGGCGGAGCTGGGGGCATGTTTAGAGGAGGAGGGGGTGGGTCTACAGCAGGGGGCGGTCCCAGTGGAGGAGGAGTGGGAGGTATATGAATATGCCATTACACTTCATATATCAGTAGCTTTATTATTAGAAGCCTGAAATTCCCACCATGCATAAAAGGTCAGTGATGTTAGCTAAACACATTCTTTTGTCTTGTAGGACATTTCTTCCAGGGATATCAAACCTATAACAATTTTGGGTCTGGATACAACTTCTCCTCAGGCATGGGAGGAGGCGGGACCACCATCAAGCATGGTGGGTGTCCAAGCTGTCAATCAGACCATTACAGCAGTTTTGACTGTACAATTACATACACTGCCATGTAAAAGTTTGGGGTCAGTAAGATTTTTGAAAATCGTTTTGAAAGAAGTCACTTATTCTCACCAAGGCTTCATTTATTTATACTAATACAGTTTAAAATAGCTGTTTTTTATTTTTATATATTTTATATTAATGTAATTTATTCCTGAATTTTCAGCAGTCATTACTACAGTCATCAGTGTCACATGAGCCTTCAGAAATCTAAAATGCTAATTTGGAAAACGAAGCATTTCTTCTTATTATAAATGTTAAACATGGATTTGCTGCTTATTTATTTGTGGAAACCGTGAAACTAATAGGATGTTGCCCTCAAAGCCAGTTTCTCAGTTTTAATTTCTTTTAAAGCGTATCAAGAACCGGTGGAAGACAGTGATGAGGACAGTGACAGTGATACCGATGATGATCCGGCAGCAGGTGAGGTGGTGCGAATCTGTGCCCATCCTGAACCTGTTGATTCGAGAGTGGCAAGTGAGGACACAGAGCCTACAGAAAATCTGGAGTTAAACACCACAGGTTAGACTTTGCTTGAAGCTAAATCTTCAAATGTTCAAATAAGCTTGTGCAAAGTTTTCTAGCTCTGGTCAAACAAGACAAGCTTCGTATTGGTTGTACATATTTCTGTGCAAATTTGTGTGTCTGCTCTTTTCAGGCTGTGTGTTAGAGCCGCATTTGGCTGAGCTAGCTGGAAGACAGGCTCAAGCTCTCTTTCATTACGCAGTAAGTGGTGATGCTAGAATGCTTCTGGCTCCACAGCGCCCCCTCATGACCACTCAAGACGAGAACGGAGACACGTAAGTCAGGAAAAACCAACTTCATATTTCTGTAGAAGTTCTATTTTCATAAACTTCCCACTTCTCGCCAAAACACGTCAATATGAATAAATGATTTCAGATGTTTTGTCTTTGTTTCCCAAAGATCAAAGCTTTACTTACTTATATGTAGGGATGGGTACCAAAACCCGGTATTTAATCGGTCCCGGGGCTAAATTATGAAAGACCGGAGTATCGATAAGCTCTGACGTTAACGGTTCTGCTATCGGTACTGGAAAAATTAATAAAACACACATACATTTATTATTGCTATATATACATTATCTTGCAAATTCTATCTCACCAGAGTCGCCAGCTGTTTTTCAAACATTTGTCTATGATGCATTTTTGCTATTCGCAATTCAGAAGCGAGATCACGCTCTCGCGGAGGAGCTTCAGCACGTGCAACATGAAAGCCCAGTTTAATTATGATAAAAGAGAGAACTAAACCTTCAAACATCTGCTTACACTTTAGGTGGCTGTTTACACACCTGTGGCTGTTTTATTAAGCTAATTTTATTTAAGAATACCGTTAAAGTACCGAATCGATAAGCAGTATCGGTAAGAGTAGTAATACCGTTAAAACCTTAACGATACCCATCCCTACTTATATGTTCTGTTTTGGATCGGACTTTTAGGGGTTTACATCTGGGAGTGATCCATAGTCAGACAGATGCCGTGCGAAATCTAGCACAAGTCATCTCGGCTCTCCCCGGAGAGGACATAATCAACATGAGGAATGATCTGTACCAGGTATACTACAAACTCACACTATAACTTAGAATTGGATCTCCGTTTTTCACTGCAACCAAAGCTTGTGAAATTCCCAAAAGCTCTGTGGCCAGTAAAATCCTCTGATACATCTGTTCCAGACTCCTTTGCACCTAGCAGTGTTGACACAGCAAAAAGAGGCGGTCGAGGCCTTGTTGGAGGCCGAGGTGGACATCACACTCACAGATCGCCATGGAAACACGGCACTTCACCTGGCGTCTCAGCAGAAAGAGGACAGCATGCTGCGATTGCTGCTAAAGTACAAACCAGTGGTGCAATTAACCAGCATCCCGAACACAGCAGGTACGGCGGACTGACTATGTCAAAACCATTAAAGCTGATTTGAAGCTGTTCTGT